GAGGGTGGGATTTTCTTCCTCTTTTAGTACCTTCCATGAAACATGTAAAACGAGTTTCGGGCCAGTAATAAAAATCCAAAAATCAGCTGTCGGAAATGAATAGCAACTGGAATATTTACAGATTTCGATGCAAAACCATTTCATATGACACAAGGCGTAGGAATCATATATAATATATATATATATAATATATATATTATATATTATATTATATATATATTATATTATTATATATATATATATATTATATATATAATATATATTTTATTTATTTAAGTATTGATTCCTTCACCCTTGTGTCATATGAAATGGTTTTGCAATCGAAATCTGTTAATATTCCAGTTGCTATTTATTTCCGACAGCTGATTTTGGGATTTTTGTATTACTGGCCCAAAACTCGTTTTACATGTTTCATGTGCAAGTTCTGGATATATATATATATATATATGCATATGTATATATGTATATGCATATATATATATATGTATATATATATATATATATATATATATATATATATATAATATATATATATGCATATGTATAATATATGCATATGTATATTTGTATATGCATATATATATATAATATATATATATATATATATATATATATATCGCGCACACACACAAACACGTAAACATAAAAATATGTATATAAATATATATATATATATATATATATATATATATATATATATATATATATATATATATGTGTGTGTGTGTGTGTGTGTGTGTGTGTGTGTGTGTGTTGTGTGTGTGTGTGTGTGTGTGTACATATATATATAATATATATATATATATATATATATATATATATATTATATATTATATATAATATATATATATATATATATAATATATATATATATATATGTGTGTGTGTGTGTGTGTGTGTGTGTGTGTGTGTGTGTGTGTGTGTGTGTGTGTGATATACATATATATATATATATAATATATAATATATATATATGTGTGTGTGTGTGTGTGTGTGTGTGTGTGTGTGTGTGTGTGTGTGTGTGTGTGTGTGTGTGTGGTGTGTGTGTGTGTCATCTATCTATCTATCTATCTCTATCTCTATCTCTCTCTCTCTCTCTCTCTCTCTCTCTCTCTCTCTCTCTATATATATATATATTATATATATATATATTATTAATTATATATATATATATATATATTTTATATATATTTATATAATATATTAACATATTATATTGAAATAAATATCATATATATATATATATATGTATATATATATATATATATATATATATATATATATATATATATATATATATATATACGTATATGTATCAGGACCAAACACATAACTATAGACATGATGAGCCATATAACAAAAATCATACTGAGTGATTTTGAACTGAATAGAGAAAGATAAATGAAGAGGTATCAATAGACCAATTTGGCTTCTTGAAGGAATCTAATTTTTGTTCTTAGGGTCTTAGCAGAAAGAATGGTAGAAAAGCAAGGACCTGTATGTATGCTTTGTAGAATATGTTTGAGAGTTAATGGCGATGCTAAGGAGCATTAGAATTAAAGGGAAAGATTTGATTGATAACGAGCTTACATTAAAAGCAGAGGGCCACAGTACAGGTAGAAACAGAGAAGGCAGAGGAAATATGTATAGGGAAAGGGGTCAGACAGGGTAGTTGTGATGTCCCCAGACATATTCAACTTGTATAGTGAAATAATCCTGAGACAAGTACAGAACATAGCCGGAGTCAAATTGGAGGCAAAAACTTCAATATCAGCCATGCCGACGACATTGTTTTTGATAGCCGAGACAGAGCAGGGGTTACATGCCACTGATGAAGCCAGCAGTAGAAAGGATCTAAAGTTAAAAGTAAAAAAAAACGTAAACGATAGTGGTTAGTAAATGAGGATCACCTACGTTAAATTCTTTGTTCTCAATAACAACAAACTAGAACAAGAGAATAAAGTCCAATATCATGGCAGCATTATAACATCGGATAGCGAGCAAGAACATCCTTATTGAAAATGAGATGACTTGTCCAGCAAGAAAAGGATATTACAAAGCACGCATATGGTTCATCCTCCTGAACAGATGTGAAGCACGGTCCAAACAAAGGAAACAGAAAAGACACTAAATGCAATAGAAGTATGGTTGTGGAGAAGAATGCTAAGCTTAGTGAGAGAAGAAGAAGGGCTAACATTGCCTGGGAAGAAGAGAAAATTCCTGAAAATCGTAAGAGAAAGGTAGCTGAAACATTTGGGTCACATCGTAGGAGAAGGAGGCCTGGAATATGATGCATGGACAGGAATGACTGAAGGTAGAAAAGCGGGAGGAAGACAAAGAGGAAAAATATGAATGATCTAATAAGAATATTCAAACCACTGCTGCATACAACATACAACATACAACAAACAAGGACGATTGTTAAACGTTACAGGTCAAACGTCTGAGCCCCTATATATGACATCGTGCTAAACGTTGAAAGGAAAAGTTTCAGTACATA